CGCTCGGCGCTAATTCTTCCCCGAAGAGAAAAAAATCAGAAACTCCTCCACGTAGGTACTTATGCTTTTCTGAATTGCCCACAAGTAGATAGACATTATTTTTTCCGCCCCATCCCAAACCGTGCAGAGACAGGATTAAAAATATATGTGTTGTATCTTCAAATGAACTACACTTTGCAATTATTAGGAACCACAATTTCTGATTCATCCGTAACCTCTGTGATAAGGGAAACTAATGGTACGTATGTTCTTTATGAAATGAGCCAGAATTTTTAGTTCCTGATTGCAAAATTTAGTCAAAATATCTCTCTTTTCTGAAGCGCCTAACTCAGGAAAAGGATGAATCATGAGCATTTCAATCGCTCAAAATTTGTAAAGGATGCCTTTCCACCGCTGCACAATGAAACGGGCTTCGGCGAAAGATCGGACATGAACCGGACTGAAATTGCAAATATTGATAGCTATTTTGTCACACTATACATTTTAGGGAAAATAATTTTAGGGGGGGGGGGGGGTCTTGCAGGAAATTTTACGAGGAAACCAATAAAACCACTTTCAAACTTCACCGTTTCGTATTAACGAAAGATGTAAACTTCTGGACTTCCGGCGACCAATTATTACGACTGTCGTGTGGGGTTGCATATACGTTACTTAAAGGCGATTCTTAAGCTCCCTTCTAAAATACTCTACAGAGTTATGTCATCTCTCTTGAGTTTTGGCAAAGTGCAAGCAGATCACAATAAAAAGTCACCTCGTAGAAAGACGGAAGGCTACGCCCACGTCCCTCGACCCCTACGCGGTCCACCCTCAAACACGGCAGGAGTTCGCTTTTGGTGGTCGAATTTTCCCGTTCTAAATTAGAGCTAGTCGGAGAGTCAGCGACCAATTCTCGACTCGATCTCTAACTGGACCTTGCTTTTCGCTTAGCAAGCAATTTAACGCTGTTGCTGAGTTCTCTGTTCGAGAAACCTTTTTATCGGGGAGGGAGGGGGGGGGGGCGACTTCTCTGTTCGAGTGGGGAGCAACTCTCCCCCATAAATTTTTTAAACCCAATCAGAAAAAGATTCATCGCGGCGTGACGGCACGGTCATAACGGTTATAAATGCTCGTGAACGGAGATTTCGAATTCCACCCATTTGTCATGAAATTCAAACGAATTTAAAAAAAGGGAAAAAAGGAGCAGGAATAAAAGCTGTAAATGCGCGGTGACTAAATGATGAGTATGGCTCGGATCTAAAGCGGTGTTGCTTGATTTCTTACACTCCGCAGTAATTCGTTTTATGTGTGTTTCAAAGTTCAATAAAAAAACTACCGAAAACCCGTAAAAACATTTTTCGAGTAAAATATTTGGTCGGGAAAATTGGCGCGTTGTTACTTAACCGGAAACATCCCCTTTCACCACTGCAAGAAGATTGACAAAACTAAGAGCAAGAGTAGAGGCAAAAACCTCCCTCGAATCTCAGGGTGCACCAAGACTTCTGTACCGAAAGCGTCCAAAAACTTACTCTTAACTTCACAAAAATAGTTTAAAAACATGACGAATTTAAAAATCAACGACGAAACGAACATTTATGAACTGCACACTGGACAAAAATGCTTGGTTCAAGCGTGATGATTCTTACATATCCCGCAAAGAGTCTCACTATTATGATTTAGATCGTATTCGATAGTGGGTTCGATGCATCATTTTGTTCCAAACGATAGAACTTAATCTCCAATATAATTTTTAGGATTTAAGAAGGAAAATCTGAAAATGAGAAAATTCCCAACAGTTTCACTTTTCAATACCATTTTATACTCCTAAGCATCAAAAATCTATCACAAAAAACCCGTTACCTCAGATTACTCAATTGACTTTTGAGGCTATGTTTACATGTTGAACCAATCGATATCGATAAAATCTTACCTGTTTGATGTATCGAATAGGATCCATCATTCTTGAGTCAAGACAAAATATTTTTGGCGGCAAATTTAAGGTCTTTATTTTCAGCGTACCGAATGTTGATAGGAGACGCCTGTTCCTAGTCATTACGTGTCGGTCATTTTTGGTCTAATACCACATATCTTCTCTTGCAAAATTGGGGATTCTACAGAAATCCGAATGTTCAATTTCCTGTAACGCAATGCATTTGAGGTTTCTCCTATGTGTCGTCCATTAAAAAATTAGTAGCAATCGTGGCAACCTTGGAAGGGACGCCGCGCCGCGCAGTGGACAAAGTGAGGTTTTAGCTAATTGCTCATCAGTTTCCAATCGGATCCCGGCCATTATTTATGTATCGCCTGTCGTCCAGTTTTACCCGGGTCATAATTCCGACCGTGAATTTGACGCTAGCATTTTTACCCCTCGTCAATCTCATTTGTTTCGACTCCTCTTCAACCACTTACGACCGTGAACATCCATGATCGGAAGCTCTCTTTCCCGACGGATTGCTCATACGCGACCTTGCTCACCTTTTTTAATTTAGACACTTCTTCATTTGAAATTCAGTTATAACTTTTTTTGATTATCTTAAAAGCAGCTTAATATTAGTTTATTTTTGGTAAGCTTTGTTAGTGGTTGATGTTTGGAGTGCTATTTCTATGTTAAATGACTGAATTCCGTTTAAAGCTATTTTTTAAATACTCTTCGGATTATTGGATTCAGTCGCCGCGTTTCATCCATAGAGTACATAGAGTCGTAATGTAAATGGGAGAGCTGGCGCCATGTTCTGCTCGACGAGTTCCGAGCCCGGTGTGCGCCGAGTTCGGGTCACTTTTTCGATACATGTTCGATCCAAAATGGCGGTATGGAATACGTGGTGATTCCTATCTTCTTTGTTTACATCAGATGGCCGGGTACCCGTGTATCGCAAACAATCGATTATGTATCGAAAAAGTGACCCGGCGTCACACAGGAGTCTCGGAATTCGGGACCTGGAAAATGCTTAAAAGTGGCGCCAGCTCACCCACTTACATTACGACTCTATGTACTCTATGGTTTCATCACCGTACATACAGCTGCCGTTTATTTCACCGTCGATTTTTTGGGGGAAAAAAAAAACAATAATATACCGATATATTTTGTACAACCTAAAATGAAGTTAAAAATACTCGTAGCGCGAAAATCAACCGTTGGATTATATTGATCGAATGAAATTTTGTTCGTTCGGATTCTTTCAGCTTTATTTTAGAGTTTTCAAAATGAATTTTTAGAGGAGATCCCGCTAAAACGTGCCTCTACGTGTAATGGATTGATTTTTTCTTCTTTCCCCTTTTTTCTAAGTGAAACTAACAAGGGGAGTCTACGAAGTGACATCCTGGGATTGGGTTCATTTTGCTTGTACATGAAGAAGAGACAAATCTAAGGTTGACGTATTTTTTTTTAGCCGCCACCTCCCAACCGTTCTCGAGATATCGATTTTTAAAGTTACGATTTTTGCACGTTTCCGCGCGGAGTTCCGGCGAGTCAACTGAGCGCCGGCAAGCTGCACGAAGCGCGTTTCCTATCAGCGCTGCAGACCGGCCATTCTTATTAATAGTGCCGTGGCCGAGTGGTAGAGTGTTCGCCTACCATTCCATCGATCGCGGGTTCGAATCCCGCTTCGTGCCGCAGCTCTTATGGTACGCCGCAATGCGTTTTTACAAGTTTTCTTTATTTTTATCACACACCAAGGGGTCCGCCCCCTGGCCGCTACGCGGCCCAACCCCCGGGGCGAAAAGGCGCGCTTCGCGGCGAGCGAAATCATCGAAATCGACCGTTGACGGTTGCAAATTCAGAGTAAGGAAAAAGTCATTAAGAATATAGTGTGGTGGGAAATTTTTATTTGAAACATCATTTTATCATTCAATTAAAATTATTTACCCAGTAACCGTCAACGGTCGATTTCGACGATTTCGCTCGCCGCGAAGCGCGCCTTTTCGCCCCGGGGGTTGGGCCGCGTAGCGGCCAGGGGGCGGACCCCTTGGTGTGTGATAAAAATAAAGAAAACTTGTAAAAACGCATTGCGGCGTACCATAAGAGCTGCGGCACGAAGCGGGATTCGAACCCGCGATCGATGGAATGGTAGGCGAACACTCTACCACTCGGCCACGGCACTATTGATAAGAATGGCCGGTCTGCAGCGCTGATAGGAAACGCGCTTCGTGCAGCTTGCCGGCGCTCAGTTGACTCGCCGGAACTCCGCGCGGAAACGTGCAAAAATCGTAACTTTAAAAATCGATATCTCGAGAACGGTTGGGAGGTGGCGGCTAAAAAAAAATACGTCAACCTTAGATTTGTCTCTTCTTCATGTACAAGCAAAATGAACCCAATCCCAGGATGTCACTTTGTAGACTCCCCTTGTAAGTAAAACTGGTATTTTAGCATATCTTAGCATGTTCTTCGATATCTCGATTTTTTTTTTTTTTTTTACTTCGGTGCAGCTTCCCCCAGTATTTTAGCAAATTTTCTTCGATATCCCGATGTTTTTTTTTTTTTACTTCGGTGCAGATTCTCCCTAAAATTCTTCCATATCGACGGTGAAACTACCAAACCACGTACCTATCTCGGTTTGCGGCGTTGCAGACTTCCTGACATACATAATTTTTTAACTGAAAAACTACTTAACATCAATTCTTGAAAACTTCCATAATTTTTCTTCACTTTGCGAAGAAAACTCTGCGGAAACTTCAAGGAATGAAATCGATTTGTTCCCTTTCAAAAAAATGAAATGGGCGCAGAGATTTTCAAAAACAGCAAACGAGATACGTGGTCTGGTAGTTTCACCGTCGATATTTGATATTAAGGGTTTTAGATTTGTAATTTGACTGAATTTTCGTTTCCTACTCGAAGAGGGGGTTGAAACCACCCCAAAACGTGCCTGTTTTCTCTTTAGCTTTGCGGTTTCCCATGTTACCCCCCTTGTTTTTTTTCGCTAAATTATTTGGACAATTTTTGTGTATTATTCTCACTCTCCCTAGATTTAGAGCCTTGTTGTATCCATGGTATGCGATATTAATGAAATGGTTTTGGTTTGTTTCAGAATTCGATCCGGCACAACCTGTCGCTGCACGACCGGTTCATGCGGGTGCAGAACGAGGGGACGGGGAAGTCCTCGTGGTGGATGATCAACCCCGGGGCGAAGCCGGGGAAGTCGGCGCGGAGGCGGGCCACCTCCATGGAGACGTCCAAGTTCGAGAAGCGCCGCGGGCGGGTCAAGAAGAAGGTCGAGGCCCTCCGCAACGGCATCGGCCCCGGCATCGAGCCCACCCCCAGCCCCAGCTCCTCCGTCTCCGAAAGCCTCGACTTCTTCTCCTCCTCCTCACCCCTACAAGCTTTCCAGTTGAGGTAACTATCATTCAATAGAGAATTCGCAAATTTCTGAAATTTGATGAATTTCGTGTTTAAGTGGAGACCACTGGGTGAACTGAACACGAGGATACCCTTGGTTTATGAATTGAACAATTATTGAAGAGTATATGACAAAATGATCTAATCTCCTAAAATACATGTGTTTGAATGGGAAATGCCGCTAGATGACGTCATTAGGTGGTGCATTTTCTAACTTTTAAATCTATTTTTATACTCTTTCTCGCATCAGAAAAAAATTATAAAAAATACTGCGAAATCAGCTCTTTAAGCACTTTCAAATGAAGCATAAAAAAATTGCATGCAAATTCTCCATTCCGAGCATCGAACATAGTTCGCAAGCTGGAGCTTTTCAAGTCGCCGCTCGTCTGACGTAAGGGCGTATCTAAATTTTCATGTGAGCCCTGTTCTCCGTACAGTTCTATGCTTCCTGGAGCTCTTGCGGAAAACGCCCTTACGTTAGAGGAGCTATGAAGTATACCGGGTGTTCCAGACCAACCGCCTACCATCTTTTTCTCGGTAACGGCCGAGAATTGAGCTTCACGACGAACACTTTTATGGGTAAATCATCCCCAAAAGAATTCAATGAAAATGATTTGATCCTGATTTTTTTTGAGGGGGGGGGTGGGGGGTTAAAAATATTTTCTTTGAATTCTTTTGGGTTGATTTACCATAAAACTGTTTGTCGCGAAGCTCAATTTTCGGATAAAGGCGGGTGGTTTGGAACACCTGTCACTTCAATGGACCAATGGATAGGGTAAGCAGGGTCGGATTTACGAGAATGTCAAGTGTGTGAAGTTAAGAAAAAAAAAATGAAACACACCTTGAATAAACATGATTTTACGCAGTTTTTACCCAAGCCCTCGTGACGCTTGTTTGGTCTAAAATCACGCAAGTCATTACGTTTTAAAATCATTTGTTGGGAAGTTCGTGGGTACGTAGACAAAGGCCACAGACTTTTTCAGACGGTTTTTTGATAAAAATTTGCGAGAGGTGCAGGCGCGAAGATATCTTTAAGACGTCCTATCTCGCATTTTCGACCAAATTAGTTCTAAAAGGGCTCGTTTTAAAGCTAATGAGTTTCTCTCCTAAGATTTACACTATGCAGATAATATTTTGCTACCATTTATTCGTATCACTTTTTGGACAGCCTTTGCGTCTTTTGCTTATTTTAACGTTTCATAGAAAATAGCAGATCATTTTTATTGCATACAATTTTGAGTGATTTTAATGGCTTTCTGAAAAACACTCATAGGTCTGTATCCTCCAAAAATTTTGCAATTCCTCTTCTTTGCGATTCTTCTCTCGTTCTCCGTTTCAGATATACGCGTAACAAACGTCTGTTGTAGTGGCACGACTAAAAATAAACTCCTGATCGAGTTATGTAAGTACGTGTGAAAATATTGCACCATTAAAAATCGATAAATAAATCAATATGTCGCCAGTTTAAGACGTGTTCAATACACAAGAAACTTGGCCGATTTTGGAAACGTTGAAATTTACGTTTTGTGCAAAGTTATCTACACGAAATTTTCAAAGAGAAAATGTGTAGGTAAGTAGTTATTTAATTCAACTCATGGTTATTCACATATTTATCGATCACAGTAAAACTACATCCGCTGTAACGTATATCTTATCGGAGGTTCGGCTTTTTAGTGCATTTTCATCGCGCAGAATTTAAGATCGTAATTTTTTAGTCTGTCAATTTGAGAGTTCGAAAATGATCGTATAAAGCAGATGGGACCCTCTTTTTCTTGCCGTTGCGCCTTCCAAATTTCGCAGGCGCCTCCATGTAAATTACTGATGATGAAAGTACCAAACCACCTATCTCGGTTTGCGACGCGCGACGTCGCAAATCTCTTCTCACATTTTACTTTTCTATAACTTATAGCTAGATAATTATTTCACTTAATTTCACTCGATTTTTTTTCGTTCATTCGACAATATTCTCCGAAAATTTCACCCAAAAATGTGAAGCAATATTCTCTTGAAAAAATCAAATCTGAGAATATGTTCTCCCCCCGCACGCGAGATCCGTGATTTGATAGTTTCACCATCGATATGAATGTGTAATATGAGGGGTTTTTTTTTTTTTTTTTTTTTTTTTTTTTTTTTTTTTTTTTTTTAAAAATCTCAAATGTATATTAATCCCATTTGCTTTGTTGCATCCAACTTAGGTTTCTAAGGCCTCGAGGACATCTGGACTGTATTTTGCTATTAGGATTTACTATTTCTTGCTTATCTATGGAAGCACACATGTCTGCACAGGAAAACAGATGGTATTTACGTCGTTTCCAAAATAAGTCAGAAATTGTATAGTTGTAACTCGTCCATGGAAACACATATCGGCATAGGGAAACTAATAGTACTTACGTTGTCTCTACATTAAGCCAGTAGTAGGGGTTCTGGCTCATCTACGGAAGCACGTATCTGCACTGGGAAAAAAAATACATTGGATCTAGAGTCCAGACTCTTGAAAACATTGACAAGAAAAAATACTCTTGATTCAATCGGATTTTTCCTTGAATCAAAACGAAATCCACCTAAATTAAGAGGCTTCGTTCTTGATTTAAGCTAGATTCTGATTGAATCAAGAGTACTATTTCTTGTCAATGCTTTTAAGAGTCTGGACTCTAGGTCCAATGTGTTTTTTTTTCCAGTGTGCATAAGAAAATTAATGGCACGTACTTTGCCTCTAAAATAAGTCAGAAGTAGTAGTTCCCTGTCGCAAAATCCAGTCCATTTTGTCTGGGGTCACACGGAGCGTGTAACTAATTTCCGTGCGGGACAGTCCTGATTTCAGGCCGCGGACATCGTCGAACGCCTCCTCGTGCGGGCGGCTCTCCCCGATCCCGTGCGAGACGGACTGGACGACGTACCGCAACGCGGAGCAGCTGGCCGGGATCATGGAGCAGGCGCGGCTGAGCCAGGAGCAGGAGCCCGGCTACAACATGAACCAGGGCTACCAACCCGGGCCGCCGGGGACCCAGCACCAGCAGCCGCCACCCCCGTACCACCAGACCCCCCAGTACAGGCTCTTCTCCCAGTCGCAGCCGCAGCAGCAGCCGCAGCCCCAGTCGATAGCCCAGCAGCCTCAGTCGATAGCCCAGCAGCCCCAGTCGATAGCCCAGCCGCAGTCCATGCCTCAGTCCATCCCGCAGCCCCAGCCCCAGCCTCAGATTTGTCCCCTCCACCGTGTTCAGTCCTGCACCTGCAATTGCATTTCTACTCAGGTAAACATCTTAACTCTTTTTTGACATTGGGCTTCCATTTTCCGATTTTTTATACCCTCCTCTACTACCCACCGTCTCGCTTGTCAGGTACATCCTCTCAAAAACGCGAGGTTGATTTAATTCCACCTCCACATTTTTCAATATTTCAAAAAAAAAAAAAAAAAAAAAAAAAAAAAAAAAAAAAAAATTGAAGAATAATGATAAAGGCAGTGAAATTTATCCGCAGTGTCAAAAACATTAACATTTTTTTGCCGTCGAATATTTATGGTATGTAAACTTTCAAAGAAGCGAAACAATTAAGGACACGATTCAAATTTCATGCATCTTGCCATTTAATTAGCCCATGACACGATGCCTTATTTACTATGTAGAATTCAGAGAAATCTTTTTCACGAGGCAATCATCGTATTTATTTGTCTCGCTTTATCTTTTGAAATCATTAATTTTCCTAAAGTAGAGTCCGCGCCAACTAAATTCACGCACCTTTAGACTGCGACAGAAGATCTGCCATCTTGCTGTTTGCATATACTTTCCATGCGAAACTGCCGTCAGACGATCTCTTGTCGCAGTCTCAAAGCGCGTAAACTTATTTGGCGTGGACTCGAGCAACTCCTCTTTTTGCTCTAAGCATACTCGTAAGTTTGCAGTAGACGGATTTCCTGCCCCATCTTGAGATCTGCTCTGATATTCTTCTAAGTTTTTAATGAAAAGACTCCAATGGACCGTTTGAACTGCATAGGTCGTAACGATTGCGTATTTAACGTTTGTGTCATTTTATTCGACAGCAGCAGCAGCAGCAACAGAACGGGTTGGTGTACCCGCAGACGATCTCGCCAAGCTACACGTGTCACTCGACGCACTCCTCGAGCCCGAGTCCTCCCGGGAGCGGGATGAGCGGGGGCAGCGGGATGAGCGGGGAGATGACGTCGGTCATGGGCTCCCTCATGAGTGCCTTAAGCCCCTCGACGATGGACGATCTCAACCTCAACTTCGAGACGTTGCAGGGCAGCTTCGACTGCAACGACGTCGAGGAGATGATCAACAACTACGAGCTCAACCTCGGCGGCCGGCTCGACTTCAACTTCCCCACGCACGCCCAGTCCCAGCAACCCCCGCCCCCGCTGCCCCTCGTCTCCGACTGGCGGGGCGCCAAGTAGGACCAGCTTCCCCCTCCTGCCAATAGGGGGCTTTGGACTGTCTGGGAGCACCAGTGGTTAGTACCAACTTCCAGTTCTTCATAGAGAAAAAAAAGGAGGTGTTTGCATTTCGGGCATCTTGGAATTGTTTTGATGATTTGATGACGTAGGTCGGTACAGCGACGTTTATCCTGTCGATTTTCTTGGAAATGGTGTAATTTAAGGAAAAAATCATTCTATAAAAAGTGCTTGAAATTATATAATGAGTTGATTTAAGTAAAAAAATCGGACATTATGGTCCGTTTTTCATATTTCGAATTCCGGATTTCGCTGGCCAGGTTGTACCGACCTACGTCACAGGGTGAACAAACCTCATGATGCAAACACCTCTTTTTTTTTTCTTTATGCCAGTTCTTTCACTTTTCCTTGCAGGCATCATCCGCGGATGAGAATGGAACTCTTGCTTGCATCCTGGATTCGCCATTTAAGTACTTTCTCGTGTTCCAAATTTCGCGAGAAACTCGATGGTGTCACTGGTTTTCTCTGAAACGAACTCCCAAGCTCAAGAAAAGCTACCAAAATAGAGTTCGTGCATGTGTCAGAAATTTGCGATTTAAAGTATACTGATTCCCTAAAAAGCTCTCAGAGTTGATATCGCAATGAAGGGGATGTTCCAAGCTATCCTGGGAGTCCATCTCTGTATCAAGTCAAACTCTTAATGCTCAGGCAATAAGCAAATACAATAACAGGATTGCCACTTTGTTTTGGGACTCTAAAGTTACAACCACGGCAACTCTGCTGATGTATTTGCTTCCTATATGTGGAGAGTTTGACCAGATATAGAGGTGGACTCTCAGGGTAGCGTAGGAGATTCCCTCCATTACAGCCTCAATTTTGAGAGTTTTCTTTTGAGCTTGGGAGTTGATTTCAGAGTAAACCAGTGGTACAGTCGTGTTTCTTGAGAAATTTTACGTAAAAAAAGTACTTTAAACACGAATTTCCTACTTATGCAAGAGCTCAATCGAGGCCGTAATGAAAGGGATCGGGGGATTGGATCCCTCTTGTTACGCTGAGAGTCTATGTAAAGTCAAACTCTCCGTCCACAAATAGGGAGTAAATACTTTAGCAGGGTCGTAACTTTGTTTGGATACTCCAAGGCTAAAATCACGGCAACCCTGCTAATTTATTTGCTCCCTATCTTGTGCATAGAGAGTTTAACCAGATCTGGAGGCGAATTCTCAGCGCAACAGGGTGGATCCCCGCCATTACGACCTCAACTTAGAGAGTTTTTTTTTGAGCTGCAAATAACGTATCAGAGAAAGAGACTTCACGAAGAAATGAGCTCGAAGGCGAACATAAATTAAATAAAAGTAAAACACGAAGCAAGGGCAAGGCGGACTTAGATGGATCGGGAGGGTGGGAAGGAAATTAAGCGAAACCAGAAAGGCGTCAAGTTTAAATATTCAATTGAAGTAATTCACGTCATTGAGCCATCACCTCTCCCTATAAACGGCAGGAGTTGCAACGGATAAGTTACGGGTTGGATACTTTCTCCATCCAAGAGCAGAGGCTTTCGCGGGGGCGTGAACGCGAGGGGACGACATCCGTCTACAGTGTGTTCCTTCGACGGCATATCAAGAGAGGAGAGGGCTGCTGCGGAATAAAATGAATGAACGCATAATGTGTAAAATTAATTGAAGACTGGCGGCATATTTTCTGTCAATTTAGAATGACGTATGACGGTTCGAGAGGTATCTTGCGCGGAGTAAGTGCCTTCTTCGTTCTTGTCGCAGCACGTTATTTGACAGTCGGCCTTCCAGGTTATTGGCTGTAATGAGAAAAAAAGCATTTAAACTTAGAGTTTCTGAGGCAGATACGAGGTTCTTCCTTGAGGGAGTAGTTATCCTCTCCCTTTAACACCTCCAGTCGCCTACTGTTCAGCGGTTTTTTTTTAATGCTTTATTATTTTTTGATGGAGTAGAGAGTAAAACTCAGTTCAAATGCGGATGATCCGCGTCGATATAATTTGCCAAAAGTTAACACCCATAAATTTCAATAAAACTGTTGAAATGTTCATGCTCTTTATCACGGTAGAATTCTTTAAGACAGAAGACACGTCGTCATTCACCAGACGTGATATCAAATGTAACTATGTACATTTCAACATTACTCGATAGCGTTTTCCTCTGTCAAACTCCCGCATATTTCCAACTGAAAATTTCACTGATTTTTCTTCTGATCACAGCAAAAAATCTGCACAATTTTGGAAGTTACAATGTGAAGTTATGTTCCTATAGAGATTTGCATTTTTAAGTCATTTTGACGCTCCTTCGTCTGGGAAACGACGAATTATTGGATTTTATTGAGCAACTGTAAATTGGCTCTGTAAACTTCACACTAATGTGATTTTGCCCTCCAGGAGCAAAATTAATCTAATCGTTAAATTAGAAGTACCATTTTAAACCTTGAAATGAGATGGATCAAGAATCGGCGCAGTTTGACGCCAATTTAACCGCCGTTTAAGTGCGCCGTGCGTCTGGCGAGAAGAACGGAACAAAAATTGAAAGGCACAAACGGGAAGTCGCAGGGAAAGAGAGGAGGGCGATGAGTGCTTTCATTTATCGGACGCAATCGCTCAGGAAGCGAAAATAATTTTTCGTCTTTTTCTGACATGAAAAGTTACTTTATTCTCTATCCGATTCTTTGGCTGAGGACAAAACCGATCCTCCTCCGGGATCCTGGACTGAAGTTTTAAGCATGGTCGCCGAATGGTGTTGTACGACCCTCTTTCTGCTTCGCAGAATTGGTAAATTATTGCCAACGATACGGCAACCCTGGGAGCTTTGGGAAAGCGTCTCGCTCCTGACGAACGGGACACTTCAAAACTCCTACTACCCCTTTGAAAAGTGCAATTTTCCTGTCAACTGGATCCGATCGTCTCCTTTTGGCAAAAGGGAAGTAACTATCACCTAAGCAGAATTTGGCAACTAAACCTCTGGTGTGGATTTTTGTAATCTAGCCTATTTATATTCTTAAAAATGTTCTCACTTCAGAAATATCAATGAATAAAATGAAGCATAAAACATGTAAAATGTAATAAACACGCTTGAGAATGAATGCACTACCAGGGCCGGATTAAGGGGGTGGCCATATGGGCCGCGGCCCATGGCGGCAAATGTATAGGGGGCGGCAAATTTTACAATTTTTTTAAATGTAGGTATAAAAAAAATCGTATTCAGAAAAAAAAAAATTACAAACGAGAGAAGGCGACATTATCTCTCATTTCCTGAGAGTATAATACTTTCGAATTGTGTCGTCTTTCAGGGATACAAGGGACAGCACCTTTAATTATTCAAGTTAAGAGAGAAACCAAATAGTTAAAAAACGCAATTTGGCCCGGAACGGCGCGACATAGAGAGAAATGATGAAAAGGACTTGAGATGAAACGGATAAACCCTCGGGGCGGCGATCGGCATGTAGCACTTATTAGCGCCTACAAGACTGCACGAATACTTCACGCATTGCATCAAACAGAGTGCGGTCATTGCGGTCAGCGTAAAACGGATAGCGCCTACAAGACGGCGTGAATACTTCTCGCATTGCGTCAATCACAGTGCGTTCAGCAGCGGTCGGCGTGAAACTCGCAGCGCCTACAAGACTGTCGGAATACTTCACGCATTGCGCCAAACACGGTGCGGTCAGCGCGGCGCGGCGGCGGAAGTTAAAATCATTAATCCACATTTATGTTTGTTCTTTCATAATTTGTTCGTTCCTTTCTTATGAATGGAAGGCCTTGTCCACGCAGAGATAGGTTTACGAAACTTAACTTTCGCACAAAGTTGCGTGAACTTTTGCTGATAGTGTTGACAGGGCTTTCGCAAAAAATGTGTCCAACACGAGTAAACGCGTAGTATGCACCCCTCCTCCGCTGGCACGTTCATTTGATGGTTTTTATCGATGTTTCAAAACGAATGAGAAGGGGGCGGCAAAATACAGGCGGCCCATGGGCGGCAAGTAGGTAAATCCGGCCCTGTGCACTTCGTAAAACTAACGTAAATTTTCTCATAATGTGAAACACTTCAAACTAATTTTTCCCCCTTTATTTTTTTGACCATCCAGAAGCAGTTTTACGTCTGGAAAAGTACAGGTATCAGTTTTTTCAGCAAATCTGAGCTTTGCCTCATAATTTAACTGTAAAATTTTATGAAAATAGTAAAAAATTGCAACGAATACTAGTTTCAATATCAATCCTTGCTGCAACTCAGGCACAACAAGAAAGTACAATTTTACAAGAGGAAAACTCGCGACTTTTCACGTACAAAAATAAGAGAAAAAATATTCCATATCGAATTCATTTAGGTTTTTTGCAAAATTATGATGCATTGTACAATGGCAGTACAGCTTTTTATAGTTGCAGTACACAAACGACGCGATCTTAAAGAAACACGATGCGTATACTACCGTGCTAAGGAAGAACGCCGTATGAACCTTCAGGCGTTGCCATATTTCCTTCAATATAAAACGAATTTATTGGGATGATTGTGGATATTTTTCTTCAAATTTTTCAGACAATTTTGTTCGCAATTCGATCTAAAATATCTGAAAGTTTCAAAGAAAAATATGCATAATTTTCCTAAGAAACACATGTTTTATCAAGGGAAATTTGGCAACTCTCGAATGTTCATACGGCGTTTTTCCTTAGCACGGCAGTAGATACGCACACTCGGAGGAAAAAGAAAGGAATCAAGACACGGACACAAGCTCCTCGAAGCTTTCAATGGACCACTAGACAAGGTACGAATTTAAGCATTCTGATACATGTTTTTAAACCAAAATTGCACGTAAAACACGATGCGCACAACAAAAATTACCGAAATCAACTCCTTACGAAAATATTTAATGATTCCTGATGCGTGAATTCAAACCACCCGCTCAATAAAACTCAATGCTCCACGTGATTCACATCGCGCGTTGAATATTATCGTGACAGTCTCTGCGATATGAAAATCTGGCAACCACAATTTTGACGCTTTGGCTCAGTCATAGCAAATTGCTTATAATTTGAACAACACATGGT